GGGTTAAAAAGTTTTTGGGATGAAATGGTATAAAAAGATTTGTTGGGGCTAATTTTTATGGTCAAAAGTCAATAAAAGAGGGAGATACAAGATGAGGGGGTACGGTGAAATCCTTAGGGATTTCCTTATGCCGCTTGAAAGAAAAATGGAAAGAGGGTCTATCATGAAATAATATGAGGAATTAGGGTTCTATATGAAATTTTCCCAAGAAACAATAGATGTTCATTTGTTTTTGTTTGTAGGTTTGGGTTGTTGTTATGGATAGTGTTAGAAAGGAGAAGGTCCACAAGTTTGAAGAATTTGTCGACCGGCGTTTGAAGCCTGATCTTGTCCATGCTATTGCTGAACGGTAGATATTTCCTCCTTGCGATGAACACTTTGATAATGTTGACTTATTGGGGGCAATGTTTTTGCACTTGACCTTAGTCAATTTTTATTACTTGTTAAAAAAAAGGTACTCATTTCGTTTCTGAAATTTCTGGTTTATTTGATATGAAATAAGGCTGTTTCTTCAAATGCAACATTAAACTATGTACATCATTTATCCTGCTTGATATTTAACATTGGCATGCGTCCTGTTTGAGTCTTCTTTTTCAAGATATGGTGAACATTATTGAGAATGATGATGCTAGATGGCTGTTTGCTTCTCTACGCAGCTGTCAATAGAAATATTATTTTATCGTGGTTATGCCTTATCATTTTTCTTATCTTTCCACTTTTCTTTTTATTATCTGAAATAATCGACAACCACTTGCGTATGGAGGTTTACTTTGGGAACAAGACCCTACCCAGTTCGATATTTTTATGCATCGATTCTGCTATACCATATCTGATCAATATACTCAAGCAACAAAAGAAGATCAGTAAACCATTTAATTATGCCAAGAGTGACTTCAACGGTTTGGTGATTCATTTTCTGTGAAATATTTGTACCAAGAATAACTCCTTTTAAGGTATAAAAGGGTTAAATGTCATGCAGAATGGTGACATTGCCTCCTATTGAAGTTGTTTTCCTATTGAAGTTGTTATATTTTATTGATTTTGAATTTGTTTTAGCTTGCTAGTGTCTGTACTGCCCTAATTCACTGTGTTTCTTTGATCTTTGCTTTGGGGATGTGAGCCGACTGGTCCATGACAGGTCCACTTTATAAAAGTTTTGACCATTGAATTTTGGGACTGATGTGATTATGACTTGACATATTGGAAGAACTTTATATGAGTCACTTGGTGCGAGTTAAAATGGGCAAGAGGAGCAAAAACCCAGTAGACAAGTTAAGGAAGGGAGGTAGGCCGGAGGGAGGGGGAGAGATATACTGGAAGACTATTTATTTTATATTTTCTAGAAATGTACTCTTCGATTCTGAGACCCTAACACAATACCTATAAATATGTCCTGGGTCCTACCATTGTAAACCAACTAAATGAAGGAAAGCCTTATTAAACAACTATGCAGATTAAACAACTATGCAGAGAATCTCTCGAATGATTGCCCATGCTTCCCCTATTCACATGTCACAACTATTTCAGCCAAAAAATAAAGTCAAAAGGAGCCCACTAATTGCTGCTCCACTTGAATACTCCTTTTTTCTTATATGTGTTTCTCAAGCTGAAGGGTTTTTGTTGTGAGCCTTTATTTATGTATTCCATTCTTGCTGTATTATTTAATCTTTTGTTTTCTATTATATGGAATTTTAGATCATGGAATTGCTATGATGCTTGTTAGATGTGTTTAGCATAATCAAATTATTGGGCCCCATCCTCATTAGCAAAATGTGGATTAATCATGTATTGCCAATGCTTGGTAAGTTATTAGTTTTTTATTAGTTAAGAAGCAGATAGATGTTAATATTTTGTTTTGGTATATTTTTTGGATCATGATATCTATAGTCCAAGAATTTCTAATAAATGTAGGTTCGAGGAAAGGGGGACTTAACTGGATTGTGGATTTTGCAGGGACAAGGTTTTTGCCCAGCAGAAAGTTTTGTATCCTCATATTTATGATTTTCTTTGTTTTCAACTTTCACAAATGTTTTCAGTTCTAGCCGAAGTTATGAGGGATAGAAGAGATCATAATGGGCATTTAATAATAATAATGTAATAATAATGTACCTCTGGGCTTTTTTTTTATTTTTTTCAGCTTAGTGGAACTTACATGCACATCTATGTAGGACTTATTTTAATTGATTTTATGTTGTAAAACACTTTAATATATTCTCACTGGATCCTTAAGGCTTACCAGACTCAATTCTTCTGCCTTTACTTCCTGCTTCTTTTATGTTTTGATGGGTTTTAATCAAACATCTTGTACTCAAGTTTTGCATTTTAGAATGTCAATGTGTTCATCAGCAATCATGGAACCTGTCTTAATAATAGATATGTTTAAATTCAGTTGGGGGTAGCATAGCACACCTGGCTGTTTGAGTTGCATGGATTCTGAATTTTAGAACATATTGTTACGTGTTGGCTTGAACTATACTTGAAAACAAAATTCCAAGGTTTAATTACCTCAATTGGGGAAGTGCCCATGTAGACTCACCTGGTTAACTAGCTGTCTTTTTTGCATCATTTTGTGTATCGGAAATGTAAATCAATTAAGTGTAATTTATACATTTCCTTATAGAGGTGTACTTCTCCTTTGGAATGATTTGATAATTCTATTCACATTGAGGGAGTGTCGGACGCAAAAGAGTGCAAAAAGGTGTTGTTGATAAAGGCAGGGGCCAATTTCTGAAATGCACCTGTGCCATTGTCGTCACGTCTATGATCCATCGGGGTCCTACAAAACCATATGGGTTCAGGAAAATCAGGCAGCTTGACTCAGGACTTGCTCGTTTTTTACCCCACCTCAACCCCTTATTGAGTGTTAGCCAAGTCACCAGATGCTCTTCCATGTCCCACAATTTTTCCGTATTGTTTTGGTGATACTTGGTCTGGTCTCTTGTGACTTGGTCGTGTCTAACAGGGTCGACTTGGCTCTGGACCATAGTCACCTCCTGAACTGAGTTTAAGCTTCGCGCAATATGGAACAGACATCTCTATCATATCCCCAAAGACACCATCCATCTTTGAAGTACTGTCATGATTTTTACCTAGCTAGGAGAGGTATATTGTCTCTTAAGCATGTCTGAACTGTAGAAGGGAACGTATATCATCAAGGAGAGCCGATAGGGGAATAGTTGCTTACTGGAAAAGTATGAAGAGAGGTTGAAGTATGACTGGTGAAAACCCATAATTGGTGACACGGCGCCGTAGCCACTTCATGGATTAAAGTATGAAGAGAGGTTGATGTTCACACTTTAAAGTATGGAGAGAGATTTGACAACATCTCTCTTCATACTGGCTTTTTCACCAACCTATCGCTGTCCATGTTCCTTCTTTCCTTCCCCCTTTCTCTCTCCTCTGTCATGGATGGTGGAACTCCATCGCCGTTCATGCTTCTTTTCCCTTTCTCTCTCCTCTGTCATGGACAGCGGAACCCCGTCGGCATCCATGTTTCTTTTTCCTTTCTCTCTCCTCTGTCATGGATGGCGGAACCTCATCGCCGTCCATGCTCTTTGACCCTTTCTCTCACCTCTGTCATGGATGGCAGAACCCCATCACCGTCCATGTTTCTTATTCTTCATCTCT